GGAGTAATAATTGAAGGACAAGGAGAAGTAGGAAAAAAAAGGCTACTAGGAGGGGCTGTTCCTTGGAGAGGGTTATGATGCTGGAAAGGATGGAGGGTTGGTGAAGGAGAGGAAGACTCAACCAGGTGGACTGACACAGTGACTGCTGCAACGGGCTCTTGTGTGTCAGGAAGTGTGAGGACGGCTCAGGACAGAACAGGGTTCACATCTTTTTGTTCATAGGCTTGCTATGAGTCGTACTCGATGGCAGCTAACAATACCAAAAACTCAGTTACTAATAATGTTGTTTGTTGGGTGTTTGTTTTTTTTTTTTTTAGTTACTAGTAATGTTGTAACTAATAATCTTAAAACCACTGCAGTTGCAAACAGTCTAGAAAAGTAGTTTACTTTACTTGACACTTTATAAAGGGGAAAGAAACTACAGAAAATGAAGCAATATCATACTTCTGGCTGAGACCCAAAAGGCTCCATCCTTTTGGAAATGTATACAAATTAGAACACTAACATTTCTTCCCACATGAATGTGCTAAAAGGGGTGCGCATACATCTTGCTTACAAACTTTCTCTGCTATGAGAGACTTTTGATAAGAGTAATCCAGGATATTCATAGTCTTAAGGAGGGACAAAAAGAAATCTTTCCTAATGGCCCAGGTGAGTGACAGACTGAAGACAGTTCCCTTTGTCCAGGTAGGTGTGAGGCTCCAATGTAAATGAAGAAGGCCTGAAGTTAAGCAGCTTTGGTTCTAGAGCAGGGCTGCTTCGAGATGCTAATCCTGTATATGCAGAATAAAGGAACTCATCTAGGGGATGGTGAAGTGAAACTCAACACTGTTGTTGTTGTTATGTGCCATCGAGTTGCCTGTGGCTCATAGCGACAGCAGCTCTAAAGCCTGCCCTGTCCTGAGCCAGTCTCATTAATTCCAACACACGAACCCGCATTTCCCCCGTCACTGTATCTGTCCATCTCATCCGGGGTCTTCCTCTCCAACTCTAAAGAGGAGCTTTTCCCCCAAAGACTGCAGATTGACTTCTCTGCCTTGGTGCTTTGGATTCTCCTCGGCTCAATACCAAAGGCAAGCAGTTAATTCTCTGCTGGGCCTAGCAGGCAATGCTTTAACTCTTTACAAACAAACAAACAAAGAAACCAAACTCAAACTCATTGCTGTCGAGTAGTAAGCGACTCATAGGTGACCCTCCAGCAGGTTTTCAGAGTCTGTAAATCACACAGGAGGAGGCTGCCCTTCTTTCTCCCAAGTAGCACCTGGTGAATTTGAACTGCTTGCCTTGAGGTCAGCAGTGCAACTTGTTATCCACTAGGCCACCAGAGGTCCCTTTTACTCTATAGCATAATGTAATTCAATGTTGGAAGAATTTACAATTTTGTTGTCAGTATCCATGTAATTTAAGAAATATCACACTTAGGCAATATATAATAATATCATTCTATACTTAAAAGTGAAAAATATTCTAAGGTCCATGGGGGAGGGTGACACCATGAGTTACCTCATTGAGTGACACTAATCCTAGGGACGACACTGAATCCCCCTTTCCTCTTGTGGGTGTTTGTTTGTTTTTAAACAAAATTTTATTTTGTGATTTTAATAAACAGTTACAGAGAAGTTGGATTTTCATTCATTCATTATTGCACATTATACCCCCTCGCTCTCCCTTCCCCTCCAGTTCACTTTTTTTTTTAATATTCATTCATTGTTGCACAATTACCTACCTCCCCCACTCTGTTGTCTTTGCAATGATATGTCTCTTATTCTGGGCTATTGTCCTACATATAATGCCTAATCATATATTCCTTTTAGACAGTTCTTTCCTTCATCTGTTCCAATGCAGTGGTCATTATCTATCTACTCTTATCCTATTCTCCTCCCAACCCCTCATATTAGACCTGCTTATAACAGTGATGCTATGCAGTATTTGCCCTTTTGTGACTGAGATATTTCACTCATCATAATGTCCTCCAGGATCACCCATTTTGTATAATATTTCACGAGTTCTTTACCTTTCAGTGCTGCATAGTATTTCATTGTGTGACTATACCATAGCTTCTTTATTCATTCATTCATTTGTTGATGGGCACTTGGGTTGTTTCCATCTCTTTGCTATTGTGAATAACACACCAATTAAACATGGGTGTGCCTATATCTGTTTGGGTGGTAGCTCTGATTTCTATAGGGCATATTCCCAGTAGTGGAATTACAGGGTCAAGTGGTATTTCTATTTCCAACTTTTTGAGAAAGCACCAAACTGCCTTCCATAGTGGTTGCACCATTTCACACTCTCACCAATAGTGAATAAGGGTTCCAGTCTTTCCAAAATCTGGCCAGGATTTATTGTTTGCTCCTCTGTTGAACTTTGTTATAGTTACTGGGATAAGATGATATCTTATAGTTGGTTTTATCCCTCTTATCTTTTAAAAGTGCGCATACTGACAATGAGATTAAAACAGGAGCCCATGCTTAATTTAATAAATATTTACAAGGAGTTATCCATTGTTTCCAACAGTGAGACAAGCTCCAGGTTAATGGAGGGTCAAGACTCCTTGGAAACAAGATGCTCAATTAACTGACACACGTGTCTGTTCTAGGGTCCCAAGTGCAAATAGAAGATCCCTGTCTGCTAATTGTCTCTTGAGCACCATGGCTAAGAATGTAAGGCTATATGCTTAAAGGGCTTCCATATTAGCCCTGCCCATTTGGTCAGGTTCCCCTTTCAAACTCCTGGTCGTTATATGGACTCTAAGAACTAGGGCTTCTGTGACTCACAAATTACATGAGCTTAACAACCTTGAGTTCTGCGTGGTTCTAGGAAGTGTGACTTTGTTAACCATCTACCCCAAATGCCAAAATCCAGTGAGGCATAGCCAATTGCATGAAATGGTATCCGAGTGGTGGCGACATTGAGTTTTTACTACTCGGGGCAAATGATAAGGTACTGCTGAGAAGGAACGGGCAGGCAAGCCCCACTCTGCAGTCCTGGCCTTTTCTGGTGGCTTGTTGGGGGACAGAAGAAAAACCAAATATACTAGTCCCCAAAACAGAAATGATGTGTGCTCAGGTACGGAAGCCAGCAAACCTGCAAAGTTGTACCTTTCAAGGGCACACCCCGGCCAGGGCGAAGAGAGGGTGGAGGGCTAAGGGTGGTGAGAAACACAGAGCTCCAGAGAAAGTGCCTGGGCGCAGCCTGTCCAGAGGAATCCAGGGCCCGGTCCTTGTGTCCCTCCACCACGACCCCAGTAATAAGATCACACTAAATGCCGCCTCCTAGAATGCGCCTGGTCACATTTGTAGCCTTCCCAAACCAACTGCAGACAATTCTGTAAACCAAAACAAATGTTGGCAGTAAACACCTGTATTTATAAACCCTTTGACAATTTTCTTCTCCCTCCTTTTCTTTTTTTTTCTTCTTTTTTTTTTTTACTTTTGTCTAAAACTCTCTCTCCCGCCCCAAGTAGAAAGAGGGCAAAAAACAGTTAAATAGAAAATAGACTAGGCGCCTAGCTCCCACATCTTGTCTGGCCCCTCACCAAGACGACTGTAAGGTGCACAGTAAAACGGAAATATCCCATCCTAAAAGCACTCCGAGAGGTGGGCGAGGTGTTGCGGATTCCAGGCGCTGGACAGTAGCGAGATAAGTAGCCAGGGTCTTGTGGCGGGGCACGCAGGGCACCAGGCGCCTTCCAGCTTCCCAGGAAGGTGGCTGTGGCGTCCGGAGGCCCGGGACTTGGGCAGCAGGGAGCTCCCGCGCCTGGCGTCCGCCCCTAGCCCTCCTCCCGGATCACATTCACACACGCGCTTGTAGCCCTTCCCAGCAGGTCCCCGCCGCCAGCCCGTGCCCTGGCAGCCCGGACACTGGAACCCAGTCTCCATCCTTTCGCCTCTTAAACAAAACCAGCAGGGGGCTAGGGGTGGGGAGGTGGGAAGAATGAAGATCTCACTCCAACTTCAGGGCAATCACTCGGGGCTGCCCAGCCGCCCCAGTGGGTGGGGTGCAATCTGACACCTCCCTTCCTTTCTAGAAACGTGAGTGGAGCTGGCATCCAGACCCCCGGACCTGGGGGAGGGGAGACGAAGGAAAGTCCGCACTGGGGTCATCACGCCTTTCCTCCAGCCCAAGACCTCGATCACCGCTGGCTTCCCAGGTTTGGCGCCTACCACTCTCCCTCTTGGGTTTTCTCCGGCTCCTCGCTGCTCCCCGGCCCGGTGTGTGGAGGCTTCCCTGCGCACCCGCCGGGGCCCAAGGCTGGACTGGAAATTTCAAGGCCCCCTCCCCGGCGGGATCCGGGCGCCCTCCCCTCGAGGACGCGCCTTAATTGGCTCCTGGTTGGGCCGCCTGTTCCGCGTGCAGTTCCCCTGCCGCAGCCACTTCGGCTCTGAGCGCAGTACGCTCCTTATCCGCACTTTGCTGGAGCCAGACCCCCGGGAACCTGTACTTGAAGACCCCCTCGCGCCTCTCCGCTGGCATCAGTGACAACAGCAGCAAGCCGACTTCAGGCACGCCGCCCAGGGTGCGAGGCTAGGACGGCGAGCGCCCCGAGGGCTCCCCAGCACGGGGCTCGGACTCCGGAAGACGCCTGGGTTGCGGCGCAGGAGTGCTGCGGGCGCGCCCCGGGCGCACACCCAGGCCCGGCAGCCTCCGCCCTGGCCCTCGGGACGGTCCTCAGGAGGCGAGGAGGAGCCTGCTGGAGACTTCGAGGCTGTCCCGAGTCTGAGCCAGCTCTCCCGCTTCCACTGTGCAGGGGGAGTGGCGCTGGCGGCCGGGGCCGGGAGCCCGCGAGCGCCTGACCTTCCCCTCCTCCTGCGCCTTCCCGGCTCGCGCTCCGGGGAAGGTGGGAGCGGCCGCGGAAGCCCTGGGCTCTTTCCTAGAAGGCTGACGATGGTGCTCCGGCCCCTGCCCCCGCTGCGGCCCCGGGATCGCGCGGACAGCGTGTGAGGTGCCCCTACTGTCCTGCGCCCCGGAACCCGGAGCCCTGCGCCCGCGTCGCTGCGATGTCCGCGCAGAGCCTCCTGCACAGCGTCTTCTCCTGCTCCTCGCCGGGCCCCGGAGGCGCGACCGCGGCCAAGGGCCACTCCAAGAGGAAACTGCGCCAGACCCGCAGCCTGGACCCGGCCCTGATCGGCGGCCGTGGGGCTGAGGCAGACGCCGACAGCGAACGGGGGACGCCGGGCGGCCATCTGTGTGTCCAGGCTGCTGAGGGTTCCGCGCCCCGCGGGACATCCTCGCTCCGGGGCCCGCCCCCCCGGACTGCTCGCCTGCCGGCCCCCAGGCCCCTCTGCTCGTCGTTCTCCACCCCCAGTACCCCGCAGGAGAAGTCGCCGTCAGGCAGCTTCCACTTTGACTATGAGGTGCCCCTGGGTCGAGGTGGCCTCAGGAAGAGCCCGGCCTGGGACTCGCCCTCGGGGCTGGCTGGCCCGGGCGGTGGCCGCAGCGCCACCAGCATCCTCTGCCCCTCGGCTGGTGGCCCCAATGGCATCTTCACGTCTCCCAGAAGGTGGCTCCAGCAGAGGAAGTTCCAGCCGCCAGCCAATCGCGGCCCCTCCTACGCCGTGTGGAAGTCCGAGGTAGGACCCGAGCTGGTGTCCCTGGCCCTGGGAGGTGGGCTTCATGGGGCATTTCTCCCACCTGCGTCACGCACATGGTGCCTTCGTGGCCACCTGCATATGTCTCTCTGGGGCGGAGTGCTGCAATCTTTGTCAAGAATCGATGGCGAGGTTTTGTGCTTGTGCTGCGGGCAGTTTGAACAGGTCCCTTCGCCCAAATATTTTTCTCAAACCTCAAAGGATCTATTTCTATGCCGTTTGTAAGGATTGGAGAAAACGTAGTTTGAAATATGTTTGTCATCTGATTGTTCTACAGAAACTTCAGAATCCTTTTTCTGGAGGGGGTGTGTGCTGTGAGGTGAGGGTAGAGAAGACATTTTTAATATTGATCTCTTCCTTTTCCTACCAACGTGAGAACTTAAGTTTCAGGAATCTAAGTGCTTAAGAGGTGGGGTAGTCAACAACAAGGGGTCGTCTCCTTAAGACTGTGAGTGATTATCCCACCAAAGACAATTAATAGTGAAATGTGGCCTGGTGGCAAGAAGCTGCTCTGCAATCCTGAAGGCAAGCAGTTTGAGGCCACCAGCTGCTCCACCGGAAAAGGATGGGCAATCTTTGCCCATGCAATTAACTAACTGTCTCTTAAAACCCACCAGAGGGTCAGTGATGGGTCGGTTCTGACTCTGCGGTACACAGCAAACAACATATAACACAAGACAACCACATCCAAACCTATAGCTGACATCAAGTGACTTGTAGTGACCCTATGGGACAGTCAGTAGAACAGTCCCACATGCTATTAACTCGACAGGGGCAGACACAGTAGCTGGTGAGTTCTAACAACATCCCAGTGCTTTAAAAGTTGAGCCACCAGGGTTCCTGCTCAAGATACAATAACGGTAAATGATAGGGCACGCTGGCAGAGCTGTTGGATACCTTGGAAATGTTTGCTCTTCGTTCAGAGTATTGGAGACCAGAGCTGGGCAAGACTGGTTGATGGATATTACAAAAGCCACTTGCTTTTAGAGAATGAACAGTAGTTGTTTTGAGAATGAACAAGTCTCATCCCTTCCAGTACACCTGCTTTTATAGCTCTGCCTCAGGTCTGTCTGTTTCCTTATGGGAAGGGAGGTTGTACTAGTCCTTAAGAAAAAACTCAAAGGAACAATTAGCACTGCCGAGATGAAGCGAGGGAGCCCGTGGAATGGCATGAGATTTAGGCCAAACAAAAACCAAACACGCCAAGAAGTTTGAAACTAGCACCAAAGACCATACCCCGCTTTGTTCACATGAGATAGATATCAGAGGGTGGCATTATTTATCAAAACATTAGCATCTCAGATTAAGAAAAGTTATCTGTGGGGCAAGAGGTATAGATTACAAAGAAGGAATAGCTGGGGTGCACTTCTTTGCCCCTCGGACTGGAGGGAGAGAGAGATTATCCCCAAACTCCAGAATGTAGCGTTCTAGAGAAGGTCAGAAAGGACGAGGCTGGGCTCCTCTTGTTGCTGGTAGTGGCTGGATTTCTGCTGTTTCAGAAGCGTGTGTTCTCACATTCATCTGCTGGAGTTGGGAGAAAGCTGGAGAACAGCACTAGCAAGCCAGGTTCTTAACTTTGGTAGCCATGGACCTTCATGTTCTGAACCCCTTACAGCACTGGCACTATCCCAAACTTAACAGTAACAGCAAGCAAACACACACCACCACCAAAACAGCTTGTTATGGGGAGAGCCAAGTGGTATTCTGTTCACTGCATGCATGTCGTGTTTGATGACATAAATCACAATCCCCACATGGTAACTACTTTCCATTCTTCCTCCCTGAGATTCTCCCCCCCCCGCCCCATCATATTTTTATTGGTTTGCACACAATTATTCATATCCATTGTGTTTTCTAGCCTTCCATTTACACTGTCTCATTCACGTCCAGTGTGTTTTATACTAAGTCGTATGTGTTGTAGTTTCTCGAATTCTTTACTATTGATCTATGCCTATTATCACCCCATCTGCCCACTAACCTCTGCAAGCCTGGTGATTTGCCCCCTTCTCTTTTTCTGCCCCCTTCTTCTTTTCTCCTTCCACTCCCTGATTCTTGTTTCCATTTGGCTTTCATTCTTAGTGCTTTCTGCCTTCGGAGTTTATTGCGAGGCAGATGCTTTGTTTTTTGACCTTGTACAGTCGAATGCTTAGTGTTGGTGTTCATCTGAGGTGGTGGTGGTGGTGGTGGTGGTGGTGGTGGTTGTGTGCTGTTGAATCAGAACTGACTGATCTATGCCCCTCCACTGAGCTTGCTGAGGCTGTACGTCAGTGGGAGGAGGTTATCCACCTGTCTCCTGGGGCATCCAGACTTTAGGTTAGTGGTCGGTCTCCTCGCCCCTGAGCCATCACAGCTGCCGTGTTCATTTTATAGACTTTCTATTGCTTGACAGCTTTAACAGGGTTTCAGGCTTGAGAGGTGATCAAGGGCCATATTTACAGGAGTCTAGCAGTGTGTATCAGGCCAACAAGCCTGGCTCTGTGTTTTGTTCTGTTCTTTCTCTCTCCTCTCCTCTCCTCTTCTTTCTCTTCCCCCCACCCCCAAGGTCTACCTTTTGTAATTCACTTCAGAATGATTGGCATTAGTAGTGGGGCACCATCTATTTCTCTTGGTCTCAAGGTCATGGAGGTTGAGATTCTCTTGATCCATTCATCCTTTGGGCTAATTATTTGTATGGGTCTTTTCTTCACTGTTCTCCTTTTGGACAGGGAAAGATCAGTAGCTGCACCTTAGATGTCTGCTTGCAGGCATTTAAGACCCTTGCCACTACTGTCCAAAGTAGGAAGTAGAGCATTGTCTTTGTAAGCTGTGTCACTGTCCCTGCCTTTCTAAAGTGGCCCTATATACTTACATTGTTGTTTTTGTTGATTGCCTTCAAGTCAAGCATGACTCATAGCGATCCTATGAACAAAAGGCTTGAAGCCCCTCTACAACTCTCTATATTTATCAAAGTTCATAGGGTTTCTGGAGGCATGTTATTGAGGAAGTGGATGCCACTCCTGCTTCCAAACCTGCCATAAAATGTTATTGGTTGAGTCGCCTGCGATGCATAGCGACCCTATGTACAGCAACCCTGAACCCTTCCCTGTCCTGAGCCAGTCTCACTAAGTCTAACGCACCTGCCCAGATTGCCCCAGTTACTATATCAATCCATCTCATCTGGAGTCTCCCTCTCGAAGGCAATGAACAACAGCACTTGAAAAATAGTCCATAAATGCTAGACATTGATCAAAAGGCACAGACGACTGGAGATGATCCCAGTGGTTCAAAAAACCACCACCCTTGTCATCTTTATGAAAATGTCAAGTCAGTGGACAAGCATCTCAATTGCAGCATTCAGAATTAATTTCTCACTGTTCCATGCAGGGTTTGGACAGCTTACCAATCTCATTTACTATATAGCTTTTGCTTCTGTGAAGCGTTTTTCAGCAAAGTACATAGGCCATAAAATGTTTATGTGTATGTGTAAGGGGACATCCTGAAGAGGTTGTGGTATATAATCGTCTAAGAGTCACTTTCTCTTCCCCCGACCCACAATAATAGCTTTTATTTGTCATTATTAAAAGTCTGAATTTTAAACCTATTTGCGAACTAGTCATCAGCTCGTTCAACTTTTTAGCTCCTGTCTGCTCTCCGGTAGCTTTTCCGGAGCTACAACCTTTACCTGAAGCTCCATGAGTTCGCCCAATTCAGACTTGGCCTTCTTCAGCATTTTGACTTTTCTTACAAATACATCATGGAGAGGATATATACGCTGGCAAGCCTTTTCTATGTCTTTCCTGGTGCTGTCTGAAATCAATTTATTGATCACTTCTTTTACATCATTTTTCTACACTTCTCGGGTCATAATTCCCATAATTTTCTTTGGTGGACCTGTTGGTGCTGAGCATAAGAGGTCTTCAGAATCTGATTGTTGAGGGTGTGTGTGTGGGGGGGGGGTTAAAACTTACACAAAACAGATGAAGCAAATACCCATTGGAAGTCTTGACATCCACATGAGCTTAAGCCGTGGCCTGCTGTTTTCTGACCATGGAGCATCATTTTGGCATGAGGTAAGATCTGTGCCATGGAGGTTAGTGAGGCAGTTTTTGCCTTGAACATCCTCAGTAATTAGCTTGAATGTTCTAAATGCAGCCTCATCATCTTGCAAATCAGCAAGGCTCACTTCAGAAAGACGGCCCTTGAGCCCATCAGACACAAGTTTGGTTCCTCGAGTCCTTGTAACTAGCGTCATCTTAGTAGTTCTGCTATTTAGCAAAGCTGGTGCCTTTACATCGTATCAATCTTTTTGCGAAAATGCATCAACTCTTTCTCCCTAGCTCTCCTTTTTTTAAAATGTTTTAAAAAATTTTATTGCTATTTTAACGAAAGTTTACAGAAAACTTGGATTTCCATTCATTCATTGTTGCACATTTTTCTCCCCCCACCTCAGTTTGCTTTTTCTTTTAAAGAGATTCTTTCATTGTTGCACAAGTTCCTCCCTCCCCCCACCCCTGAGTCCACTTTGCTATGCACCTCTTATTCTGGATTGTTGTCATGCAAATGATACCTAATCAAATATTTCTTTTAGACAATTCTTTCCCTCATCAGGTTCAGTGCAGTGTTCATTATTTATCCCCTCTTTTCTTAGTTTTCCCCCAACCACCACGTCAGTCCTGTTTTATAACAGTGTCATTGTGCAGTATTTGTCCTTTTTGTGACTGAGATATTTCACTTAGCATAATGTCCTCCAGGGTCACCTATTTTGTAAACTATTTTATGAGTTCCTTGTTTTTAGTGCTGTGTAGTATCCCATTGTGTGAATCTACCACAGCTTCTCTTTCCATTCATTTGTTGATGGGTTTGCACATCTTTTAATTGGGTTGCAAGTCCTTTCATTGATGAGTTTTTGTTGTTGTGTTCATCATGTATTCTGAATAGTAAATCCTTATCTGATAAAAGCTTTCAGATATTTTCTTTATTATGTAGGTTGTTTTCCACTTTCT